CTCTGAAAACATCGAATATTACATTTCTAGGCATTGCATGCAACTAACCTTTCCAAGACCTTTAATCCCTGAAATTTACTGTAAATGTGGATTGATTAGTTTATTAAACGACGTTAACCAATTGATCTTTGTAATGGTGAAGTGTTGTGTTTTATTTGCTGTACGAACTTGATTCTGAAATGGTCTTTTAACGAGCTTGGACTTTAGGGTAAAGTAATACCCTAGGACGATGTCTGGGTGGAAACATTTGGAGCTCTTTTTTACGAGAGATGGCAGGTGGACTCTTGGAAGTGTTATGAAACAGGTGCGTTTACTTTGCTTATAACGTTAGCCTGTTTTCTATGTGTTAAAGTTAATTAGGTTTACATATACTACTTTTCGTATAATAAAACTTGTTCATTGTTCGTCATCTGTCACGGCGTGTTTGGGAGGGAGGAGACAAAGACACGAAAGGGATGAAGGAAAAGAAAAAGAGACAAGGATGGAGATGATCAAAGAAATTATTACACGTTGAATTTCAACGGGCTTTATACACCAGTTCCTGTGTAGTGGAAGGACAGTATTTCATCATAATTTGTCATAAGATATTCGCACAAGTTCGTTTACGCTCTTAAATAAAGTACTCAATGAATTTAAGTAAATTAAATTTGGATATGATAAATTACTCGTATAGTGAAAGTGCTGTCAAAATTTGTCAGGGGAGTCAAAATATTTACATAAAAGTTAGGATGTTTTGTCGACATGATGTCGAATGGGGCTCACTTCAGATTCGGTTTAATGCGTGTCCTAACACCTTGACAACACCGTTAAGTGTTTTGGGTATCGCGTTCAAGCTTATTATTACTATTATTTTATCTATTCACCATTTTATATGGTATTTACTTCTATGTACCTGAGACAAACCTTGCCCTTCAGGTACACAGTGCAGTAGCTATTTCTGAAATACATTTTGTTTTTAATAAGTGTTAAATGCATTAAACAGATTTCGCGTTAGGTAATATATATTTTACGTGAGCGTCTTTCAAATGATGTATGTCGATCCTAGAATGGCGGTTTTCTGAAGTTCTCTAATGTCGTGTTCGCCCGAGATGTTGGCCAGATATGTTTTGAGTGACCTGGAGACAGTTCCAGTTGCTCCTATAACTACTGGGATTACTTTTGCTTGAACTTTCCACATTCTCTGTATTTATATGAGAATGTCCTTGTATTTCAATATCTTCTCTGCTTCCTTTTTAATTACATTCCTGTCAGTTCCAGTTTTTTTTTCTGATTATAATATCAGGTTTGTTATTTGGGACTTATAATTATTATTATTTATTATTGGTGTTAGTGTTCGTGTTTTGTATGCCTATAAAATGTGTTTGATCAGTGCACGTGTTTTGCTGTCTTTTAAATTTCTTCTTCACTGCAGTTTTATCTCCAGGTCCTCTTGCCCGTGGCCGCTTCGAAAATAATCCCATCTAGTTTTTGGGTAAAAATAATTGTTTCGGGTACTCTGTCAAAGACAAAGTGCAGTTAAGTTGTGATAACTGCGGCGTGCTGAGCCAACAACTTGACATCGGCTCTGCCTTCTGGACTCTGCCAGGTGCATTATTCTCGCTTGCGGAAAGCAGCTACCTTCTGCGTTACAGGTTCTGCACTGTGGAGTACACACCAAATACGCGGAGGTCATCGGCATGTAATTGGAGTTTGGCGTTCTTTGTATGAATCACGTAAACTGAAGATGTGATATTCTGAACTATTCGACGAATTTCTGTGTGGAGGGCGTCTACATTTAATGCAGACTTTTGAATTTGATTTTCATCCTGTCGATCTTATGTCACTCTTAGTTTATACGAAGTTTCTGACATTATCAGTCTTCATAAAAAGTTTGAATCTTTTCCTTGGTATGATTTGATATTTATTGAAAAAGAGGGAAATGTCTTGTGCAGTGCGATATTTACAGTGTTCATTGGCAACGTGACATTAATTTTTGTATTTGTTGTAAAATCACAAGGAACACATTTGTCAAAATACTCGTGCTCTAAAATGTGTACGCGAACACTTGTGTGTGAAATCACAAGGAACACATTTGTCGAAATACTCGTGCTCTAAAATGTGTACGCCACACCTTCCTACCCAGTCCACGGTGGTCCCCCTTTCAGAATCGTTTATAAGCCGTGTTGCAAGATAATGAAGACTTCTTTTCAAAATAAAGGTTTGTATTGAATACCGTTTCTCGTCCAAAAACTTCGGTCACATATTTTCCAACGAAGGCTGCAAACGGACGGTTTAAATACTACTAAGTGATGAAAAAGTATGGCTGTCTTCTGGGTTGTGACGCCGTCCCTCGCCCGATCCTGACTCTGCTTCCCACTGGCACAGCCAAGACTCTGCCTTGACCGACAGTTTGCTATATCTCAAACCGATTCCACCCGCGCGGCTTACTTATCGCCCAGGTAATTGAGGCAGCAGGAACCTGTGAAACATCAATAAACTTTTACCAGACCACACGGCGCTACAACCCAGAAGACACTCACTACCGTGGAAACTTCAAATATTACTAAATGATGGACAAACTGCCGGTTCAGTGGTTTTGTAACGCGAATGGCGTTAGATTGCTGTACAATGAACGCACAGACGGTCCCTTATCCTGTTCTGAAAATCCGATATACGATATCCAGTGCTTAGAATAGATTATTGGTATTACGGCGTCTGGCCAGGGCCGCTTTATCCATTGGGCGGGGTTTCCATCGCTCGAACGTCGCTACCATGTGTTTGACTACGGCCAGGATCGACGGGATGCTTGAGGACAGAGGCAACTCTTCGATACCATGACCAGATCGTCCCAGCGGTTGTTCCAGTCTTCTTTCCAGTTGATGTACGGGTGCTATAGACAGAGTAAATCGTGAAGGAAACAGCTCATCCCCGCCTGGTGGAGCTTTAGTTTTACGCCCCCTATACGCCGTCTTTGCATAGGAAGAGAGTTTCTTCTTCTCACATAAGAAACGCATTCATTGTGATATGGCTGATCCTCGGGTTGGGGATGGAGGAGAAGGCCTCCGGATGTGGAGTGTAGCTGCAAATATATTGAATAAGTAGGACTGCCGACAAGAGGTGGACCTCTAGTTGCCGACCGTAAACAAACAGCAGGTTACTAAATGCTACACAGACTTCGGACTTGAAGCTTGAAGGGAGGAGATCAGGCGTAGGTGGGAGGACAGTATTAAAATGGATCTTAAGGCAATGTGGAGGAAGGTGTGGATCGGATCTAGCTCAGAATAGGGACTGGTAGGCCGTTGTTAACACAGTCACGAACGTTTGGGTACCATAAAAGGCGGGGAATTTCTTGACAAGCCGAACGTACTGTTGGCTTCACAAGTGATTTGGTCCATTTTACATTGCAGCCCAGTTTATAAAAGTAGAAATGTGATTTTGTATGGGTGGCCCATTTTACCCGCAGTCTGTGCTGTCGCCCTTTGTTGTCGTTTCTTCAGTGAAAAACAGTCTTGTTTTGGAGGCTGTGAAATGCCTTGACCTTGACTCGTTTGACTCGCTAACAAGGAGTAGGCCTACCTATCCGAGGCATGATGATAATTGGATGAAGCTTGGA